TTTATTATTTATTATATTAGTCCCCTAAAATATTTCTGCGATCAGTTTCGACTGTAAAAACAATTACATAATGATTTAATCCTATTTGCCAGTATAAAGGACCAAAGTAAAATAAATTAAAAAATGTATTCTATCAGTATCAATATTTTATCGCAAGAAGATTTTATAAAATATACCTACATAATAGAAAATTAATTGTAAAACCGCTTTAAGGATCAGTGAAATAGTTACAAAGTCATAAAAGCAATAACCAAATACCATATTATTATATTCTCTTATTTTAGGTATATGGTAACATTCCCCATTAATACATTACCTCGTAGGGGGGATATTTGCCGTAGTTGTCAGTAGGCGGTTTCTAGCCTCTTTCGACCCACGGGACGATATAGATATTCTTAGCCACTACACGGTCAATTTTCAAAAATTAATATAGTAAAAAATAAATAATTTTGCTAAGTAAAAACTAAAGTTTACAATTAATGTATTAAAAGCTTTTACAAAAATTTACTTCGCAAATATCCGCGTTATAAAATAAAATGATGTGTCTTACCTAGTATGAAGAAGCACCTCCCGCCCTCCCTCAATTGCGTGCACTATCCCCGTCACCACTAATCCCAGCACCGCTACTTCCAACACCACTACACTAGGCAAGACACACCACTGACGATAATACGACACGTGTTTCGCCTCTACACGAGGCATCCTCAGGTGATATAGACTCTACGGTGGCTAACCGCTAAGTCAATTAATGTATTAAAAAAACACCTATATACTCGTATGTCCCTCAGATCGACCAGGTGCCATCGACTTCCTAGGACTTGAGCTTAATGACATTCAAAATTTTATATAAGTAAGTAACGTAGCCAAAGAATTTGGGACTTGAAATACTGCCCATTATACCAAGAAAGATTTTATTTAATAGTAGTTGGTACCCGACGCGTTGGTTCGACAGAAGGAATAACAGTGGAAATACCGTTTTAAATTTGGAAGTTGGAAGATTTATATTGTTTAATTAGGAATGATAATACATTATTTCTGAAGTTGAATAATATATAACTTTAAATTAATTGTTCGGTGCGACACGCGCGCCTCCTACAATAGATTAATTTTACTATGCCTATAATATTCGCACAAGTGCAAGCAATATGTTAACAAAATTTTAGCTCAATCTCAATCTGACGAACGGTATGGAAGCGCATACGATTCGATTACGAACAAGCAAACATAATTCTTTTTATATATTAGATAAATTAAAAGAATACTTTAAAATACCATTTAAGTTTTACCACTAGTTCGGAAAAAAGTTATAGTATAGTTAGTAGTTTAGTTCTAGGCCCCCCCCAACGAATGCCACAAAGCACAGTCTTGAGCTACCTGCATCCATCGACTTCCAGCATGTCTTATGAGGTCATAATCTTTATTAGCACTTAAATGTCCACTCCTGGACATGTACTTCTCTTATGTAGACTTTTGTCAATTCTTATAGTCGCCTTTTACGGCACCCACGGGACGACGCTTCTTGACAAACGAAATTTTATCCACTTACGTCAAACAAGTAAAATTTTTCTAATTGTTTTAATATACCGCGTTTTTTATCATATTCTTGTATTGTAATCTGAATTTGAGCTATATTTAAAATTTCAATTTTCCAACTCATCGGGAAGTTAGTTTAAAATCAATTACTAAATTCTACCCAGAACAACAAGTAAGTGACTTAATAAAAACGTAGCAAAATAAGGGGATTTCATTTGATAATACTCCCGAAATTTATAAAAAAAATAATATACTTATTAAATAAAAACATATTTTTATATCATGTAGCTTAAAAATTAGGTCTTACAGATATTTATTAGTACGGTTAGCTTGTAGGAAAGTGAGTTAGAGATTTAAAAGAAATATACCAATTCCCTTTAAACCCCTACTGGCATTAATAAGGTTTAAAACTTAATGATAAATCTTTTGAGAATCAAAACTTTTAACTTGTTTCTTGGTTTCTTATTCCCATAAGCAAATCTACAATTCATATTAATAATCTCTTAGAAGTTTTAGTATCTCCCGCTGTGTACTTTCACCTTGAAAAATATTTAGTATTTACTGAAAGCGGGGGAATCAGAGCGTAGAGAAAATAAGCATCAAGAACGGAAGAAAAACTTTTCCAATTTATCGTGGTCAGGACTCGACGAATATCAAAATGTAGGAAGTTTATGACATTTTCTGTTATTGCATTGAAATGAAAATATTTTATTTCTTTAAATGATTTTCTTGTCTGACTGATAAACATATATATATATACTAGCTGACCAGGCAGACGTTGTTCTGCCCTTTTCGACGACCCTTCATATAAAAAATCCTTATATATATATAAATATATATATATATATATACTGTATGTATTTTGTCGACATATATATTATTTACTTAGCTGTTTGCACTTTGCACCCATAATATTTTCTCTGCTTAGCCTGGAGGTAGACTGGTAGAGAATGCCCTGTTGCATTAAGTCCGCCTTTTTGTACTTGGTGTGCAAATAAAGCATAAATAAATAAATAAACGTACGGTATCACCTAAATTGAAATTATGTATTGAAGCGGTGTACTGCAGCTGGTTTGTGTATTTGCTTGTAACTTAAACTTAATTACGTTCCTGAGTGAATTTCAATGCAACCTCTTACAGTATTAAGAATATTTTATAAGAATTATGACAATGTTACAACAAATAAATTTTTGTTATTATATTTGGTTTAACACAACAGAACTGCCCTCTGCACATAAAGAATATATAATATATGTATATATATATATATATATATTTTTATACTTATTTGTGTATTTTTATTTTAAATACATAAGGGTGCCACTGAAAATCAAGGTTGGGGTGCTTCTGATACATTCCAACATATCCTGAGTGGCTTTCCTTTTTGGAGCAGAGCAGCATTAACGGGTGGATTATCTTTATAATACACCTTATGCATTAATCCTTATTCTCTAGTTCTTTGTTATTATTATTATTTTTTTAATATTATTGTTTGCTTTTTTGCTTTTTTTTTGTTTAATTTTACCATATCTATAAACAAGGAGTTAATGTCCTGTTTCATGATTTCTATGTATAATTTTTTTTTGTTTTTTTTTTTAATTTTGTTTGTTTCTATGACCACTTAAATGTTATGTGTTTTATGTAATCCGCTTGAGTGTGCTGCATGTGCCAAATAAAATCTGTTTCTTTCTTTCTTTCTTCTATATTATCTTTTGCTATTTCTTAATAATAATTAAAAAAAAAGATTTATGCAACGATTCTAAATGACTACTACTTCATTAGGATAGAGATCTTCATTTCAATTTCAACCTTACACGGCACAACTAATATTAAAATCGATTAACTCCGACTAGCTAAAAGACGTATGAGAGTTAAGTTAAATACACTATACCTTATTAATCCACTTTGTAAAAGCTATGTTGTATTTGCCTTCCCAAGTCGCAAAAGTATTCCCAAAGATATCAATAATAGATCAATGTTTGACAAAGGTTACACCTGATGCTGATAAAATTTGTATACTTAAACAAATATCATGTTTTTTTTTTAAGTTTACAATTGTCAGTTTTATTTAGTTTATAAAATTGGGTCTTAGGGCAAAGAAATGTCTACTGCGCTGTTCCAGAGTTCACATCTTATCTTCGAATATATTTTTTTAATTTATCAGTCATGCAAACTTTTTCAGGATGTTTTACTTCACCGCCAAGCACGTGGCAAATAAGCACTTAAAACTGCAAATATCAATTTCATTAGTGCCGACGAGAATCCAAACCGAGTCGCTCGCGTATTGCACAGTACAGCTCTAAAACCTCTTAACACTATAAAGCTAACGTTCGTCAAAACGACGAGCATGCAATAAATATTTCTATTTTTTTTTCGTTGTTTTACTTACATACTTGTGCTTTCGCGCCTACTCAGTACCCAATGGACTGCGTCGCGTGGTGGTCGTTTTCAGCCGGTAAGTTATTTTATTTTAGAGATACGTAACAACTGTTCGTAATTTTGACGAATGTTTAGCTTTTGTGTAACTTTTACTCTTACTGTGATGATGAATTTTGATTTGAATTTTTTCATTTTTTTGTGTTATTTTTGTTTTAATTATTGTTTTAATCACGGAAAATGGCTGGAAGATCAATTCTTTCGGATGAAGAAATAGCTTGGGCCTTAGATAATGAAGACGAAGGCTTTACAATGACGGGTCAGATAGTGAGGAGGATATAGACGAATTATTGGTCGATGACGTAGAAAGTAATTACCATGACGAACTCTCTGATATTTAAGAAGTTGAAGAACAAGAAAGAAGACCATCTTCAGAATCAGCAAGTGTGTCACAAGTAAATCCTTCGGCTTCATCAGTTTCCAATTATAATATTAGTTTGACTATAACTACCATTCGAAGCAAAAATCGTCATGTATGGACTACTCAAAAAGGACGTACATCTTATCGAACTTCTGCGATAAATATCTTTCGTGTGGGTAGAGGACTAACCCGTTCTTTGAGATCCATAACAGACTGGTTTTGTTCAGTTCTTTTATAACTAACGAAATCTGTGAGGAAATTTTAAGAGTGGACTAATGGAGGAATAGCTATAAAAAGAGAAGGCTATAAGAATTTGACATCGACTCAAAAATATTTATGCAAAGAGGAACTCAACGCACTTCTTGGTGTCTTGTTATTGGCAATTGCGATGAAAGATAACCACCTAACACCCGAAGAATTGTTCAACCCGGCTTTTTGTGTGTCGCGATACATCTCGTGTATGAGCCGAGATAGATTTGACTTCCTCATAAGATGCCAAAGATTTGATGATAAATCTATAAGACTACGAACTTTGCCATCTGATCCCCTTACACCGATCCGAAAGATATGGGAATTATTGATGGAATAGTGTCGCAGCAATTATGTTCCTGGAACCAATGTCACGATCGATGAACAACTGTTGGTATTTCGCGGTCGATGTAAATTTAAAATGTACATCCCAAATAAACCTGCGAAGTATGGTTTAAAAATCGAAATGAAGTTCGACGGTGGCACCAGGAACATGGTCGACGCCATGACTTACTTAGGAAAAGCGACAAACACTGGTGGTCTTCCTCTTCGAGAATATGTTGTCAAGGAACTAACACGAAGTATTGAAGGCTCGAACCGAAACGTAACTACTGATAGCTGGTTTACGTCTACTCCATTAGCTAAACAATTGCTACAACAACCTTTCATATCGACATTAATAGGAACATTACGAACCAACAAAAGAGAAATACCAGAAGAAATGAAAAATTACCGCGGCAGAGTGGTTGGCACATGTATTTTTTGTTACGATGGACCTCTAACGCTACTGTCATTCAAACCAAAGCCAAGCAAAATGGTTTATTTGCTTTCATCTTGTGACGAAAAAGGAACTGTGAAATCAACCATAAAACTACCCCACATAATCGAGTTCTACAATAACACAGAAGGGGAGTAGACACATTTGACCAGATGTGCTCAATAATGTCTTGCAATCGAAAGAACAATCGGTGGCCCATGTGCATGTTCTACGGCATGTTGAATATATCGGGTATTAACTCCTAAATCATTTATTGCCATAATGTCCTGGTAGCTGGTGGTAACCACTGTCACAAAGATGTTTCATAAAACAGTTGCATGAGCAACTGTTTTATGAAGCATTGTCGAACCATGGCTAAATTGCCGTCTGCAAACTACAACTATGCCTCGAAGAATTGAAGACAAAATAAAAGATGTGTTGGGTTTGAGACAGGAAGACCAGATTATTGAAGAAGCCCAAGGTTGTAATCCATGTGGTTCTGGAAGTTAAGCAGCATTTAAAAGACCTTCAAATAATAAAAGAAAGAGTTGCGGTTTGTGCTCTTACAAAAAAGACCAATGACAAAGAACCAATGCCATTGTTGCAACATTCCTATTAGCGGCGAACATTCTGTTGATTTTTGTCCTAATTGTGCCAAAAAAAATAAATGTTACCATGTATTCTTAGTGATTTCAGTATTCATTTTTTATAATTATGGGAAAAAAATATTTTCTGTTTGAAAATTATTTATTAGTTATTTAAGTTAAAAGTGCCTTAATGATCTCAATAAATACATGCCATGTAAAACTTATAATTGTAGACTAAAAAAATAAACCTAAATTTTCTATAAATATAATATACATAAGTAAAACATATCTTATCCCACACTATTCCGCTGATATCCAGGACGTCAGTCTGAGCGAGATAAGAATGGCTCTCCAGCACCTTAAAAACGGCAAGGCGGCAGGCGAGGATGGAATTACAGCGGAGCTTCTGAAAGCGGGTGGAAAACCGGTACTTGAAGTCCTTCAGAAGCTCTTTAATTCCGTCCTCCATGGTAGGATTACATCGGAGGCGTGAAGCAGAAGTGAGGTGGTCTTGTTCTTTAAGAAAGGTGACATTGCTCTCTTGAAGAACTACAGACCGATTTCCCTCCTGAGCCGCGTCTACGTTCTGTTTTCGAGAGTCATTACGAATATTCTCGCGCGCAGACTTGACGGCTTCCAGCCTCCCGTACAACCCGGTTTCCGAAAGGGATTTAGTACCATAGACCACACACACACCCTTCGGCAAATTGTACAGAAGTCCGAGGAGTACAATTTGCCACTATATCTGACGTATGTGGACTATGAGAAAGTCTTTGATTCCGTCGAAATTTGGGCAGTGCTGCAGTCCCTTCAACGGTGCCTAGTTGACTGTCGGTATATAGAAGTGCTGAAGTGCCCGTACAGTAGGGCTACGATGGCTATCCGAGTACAGAAACAGAGTAAGAAACCTATCCAATTGCAGAGAGGTGTAAGACATGGTGACGTTATATACCCGAAACTCTTCACCGCTGCATTGGAGGACGTTTTCTAGATTCTGGACTGGAAAGGATACGGTATTAACATCAATGGCGAGTGCATCTCTCACCTTAGATTTGCCGACGACATAGTCCTTATGGCAGAATCGCTGGAGGACCTAAGAACTATGCCCAATGACCTCAAAAATGTCCCCCAACGAATAGGTCTTAAGATGAACATGGACAAAACAAAGATCGTGTTTAATGTTCATGCCACATCTATGCCGGTAGTTGTTGGGAGCACTAAGCTCGAAGTTGTTGACGAGTATGTTTACCTAGGACAAATAGTCCGACTAGGTAAGTCCAACTTCGAACGAGAAGTCAATCGACGGATTCAACTTGGTTGGGCAGCGTTCGGGAAATTACGGCACATCTTCTCGTCAGGTATGCCTCAAAATTTAAAAACGAGACTGTACAACCAGTGCGTGTTGCCAGTGCTGACTTACGGATCTGAGACGTGGTCCTTCACTGCTGGCTGGATGAGAAAGCTCAAGGTCACTCAGCGAGCTATGGAGAGGGCTATGCTCGGGGTTTCTCTGCGTGATAAACTTAGAAATGAGGATAACCGCAGTAGAACCAGTGTGACTGACATAGCCCAACAGATTAGTAAGCAGAAGTGGCAATGGGCCGGCCATCTCGCCACCTCCACCTCGAAGAACCGACAAGCGATGGGGAAAAAATATTCTCGAGTGGCAGCCTAGTACTGGCAGGCGAAGTGTAGGGCGTCCCCCCACTAGATGGGGTAACGACCTCGTAAGACATGCAGGAAGTCGATGGATGCAGGTGGCTAAGGTCCGTGCTTTGTGGAATTCCTTGAGGGAGGCCTATGTTCAGCAGTGGACTTATGAAAGGCTGTAGTGACGATGATGATGAAAACATATCTAAATTATTTAAAAATAGGCTTTTGAAAATGATCGTCAGAAATACGAATGGTTAGCTTATCAAGGTAGTCCAGGAACGTTAGTTTTATAGGGTTAAAAATGGAAGGAGGCCTGTGTTCAGAAGTGGGACATACTCGTATATACAGGCTGTTAAAAGTTAAAGTTAAAGTTACAGCCTATATGCATCCCACTGCCGGGCAATGCTTTTTTTTCTTATTTCTCAGACATGCAGGTTTCCTCACGGTATTTTCCTTCACCATCGAGCACGTGGTAAATCAGCACTTAAAATTGCAATTAACAATTTCATTGATGCCGGCGGGGATCGAACCTGGGTTGCTCGCGTACTGTGAAAATTACCGCGAGCGCCAACCATCTGAGCTACCACGGCTCTCTATAGGCTATTGGTTAAAGTTAAAGTTTCACGTTACAAGTTAAGCTCCTATATATACGTCCCACTGCTAGGCTCATGCCACCTCTATGTTTTGAGAGGGTTTTAGGGAAAGGAATAGTCCGCCGGGCAGCCCCAATACGTGTTAATGGCGAAATTCACATGCCTTCAATTTTTTTCTTATTTCTCAGAAATGCAGGTTTCCTCACGATGTTTTCCTTCACCGCCGAGCACGTGGTAAATCAGCACTTAAAATTGCAACTAACAATTTCATTGGTGCCGGCGGGCATTGAATCCGGGTTACTCGCTATGTGAAATTTACAGCGAGCGCTTATCCCCTAAACTACCACGGCATTGGCTGTAACTTTACTTATTCTTGTTTTGATAACTCTGAAACACACAAACACATAAACACATACACAGAGGAACAGTAAACGTTTGACTTAACTTGAGCAACTGTTTACCTAACAATGTTATTTTAATCAAGATTTCTGTAGTGCGGTAAATCTAATGGATTTCGAAATGCGCAAAGCTGGTGCAATTAATTAAGTGCTCCCAGTTAGTCCATGAGCTCACTTAGCTTTGAGATTATACTTTATAATCCGAAAATGATGCTCAGTACCTTGCTAATGAATATCATACGTCCTCCAAGTGGTATATCAGTTTTAATCTTTATCTACCAGTATGTATTATATAAAAACGGATTTTGGTATATCTGCTTCGGATGAAAATACTTCAACGTTCTTTGACTGCTTTTTCTTTTCGGAATAAAGGTGACAAACGAGCACACAGCCTACTTGATAGTAAACGGATGCTGTGACCCATGGACAATTAAGATGAAGAATCAAAATACACATGCGTTATCACCCCTGATGGCAAAAATGGAATGCGTTGTTTCCAATAAAAAGGGTTTGCGCTTCTTTACTTCACCATACAAAATACAACAGCATATTGCTGTTATTTTACACTGGTATTTTGTGAATGCTTAGTCCTTTCCCAAACGAGATTCGTGCTAAAACCATAACATAGTGGCAGTATGGCTTCACCACGTAAAAATAAATGACTTTTGTGGAATTCACGTGTTATTTTTATATCCAGTGAAGTGCGACGTCAGTTTATTTGTGTCAATAGCGACGAACATAGTGCAAGTTTATAAAAGTTGCACGTATTTATATGTGAGAAGAATTTGTTAAACGTGTAAAATTGAAGTCGTGTGCAAATAATATTTCTACTTTTTGGTCGACAGGCTTAAATTGTAATGAAGTTTTGAATGGATAGTTTTAAAACTAAAATTGGCATTTGCAAGTTCAAGCGAATCACTGAAAATATGTCAAATGTATCACAGAAAATATGGCTCAAAGATTCTTAAAAAAAATTACAACCTAAATTTGTCCCACACTTGTATACAAATCTTCTCGCATTCCTGAGGGAATTTTAGGGTAATGAAGTTTCCTAACGATGTTTTTCTTCACCACCAAGCACGTGTTAAATGAGCACTTAAAATTGCAATTACTTAAAAATTCCATTAGGTTTAAGTGGGAATCCAGATCCGGGTTTGTAATTATTCCCATTACTAAATATAATAATTTTATTAGTTTTAATACGTAGGCATGTTTTTTAAATAATATAAATATGTGAATATTGAAGTAAAGAAATGTTTTTTTTTTTACAGAACTAAGGTGACAAACGAGCAGAGTCCCCTGAGGGTAAGTGCATGCTGTGGCGAACATATCGACACCTCCATGCAACTCATTTTTTGCCATAAATTATGTTACAATGATATTGCTATCAAAAAAATATACAATTTTTCTGTACAATACATATTAATTCTGCTCCCATTAGTTTTTAAAATATACACATGTCATAGTATTGTAACATAACAAAAAAGTTTTTTTTTCTACAATATCGTTGCAATTTGATTTACAATTTATAGAAATTATTATGAGTAGCAAGTCAACCAAATACAATATCATTGTAACATTATATACAATCTTCGTACATAACGAAATTGAAGAAATCACATTTCGTTGAAAAAGAACATTATTGTACAGGCTTTACATTGATTGGAAGAAAGAAAACCGTTCGTTGAACAATTGGCAAATTCTAGGCAATATAAGGACATTTTTATAACGAATATAATATTGAATTCTATAAGCCCAAAAAAGACCTTTGTATTCTTTGCGACAGATATAAGAGAGGATCTGAAAAAGAAAAAGATGACACGAAGCCAGAGTACACCTTGCATATTGCGAACAAAGCAGTGGTAAGAGAGGTGAGAGATTTATCAGTTTCAGTCAAAACAATCTGACGTTATAGTTACAGCTGCTTA